TCTTTAATGGTCAGTAAACCTGGTTTAGTTGATCTTTAATGGTCAGTAAACCTGGTTTAGTTGATCTTTAATGGTCAGTAAACCTGTGTGTTTCCACAGTACTGGTATGAAGGAGATGAAGCTGGAGATCTGCCCGTGGATTTCTCCATCGTTTGGGACGGAGATTTTCTCATCGACAAACCGGCCTTCATGAAAGGTAAAGAGTTGTTTTTTACACAAACTGGACAAAAAACCTTTTTGTGTTTCTTGTGTGTATTTTGTGATTGTTGTAGTGTTTGTGCAGGATTTGTTGGGATGGATCATGGTTTGATGTCAGTTGATCCTCTGCTGTCTTCCTGCAGCGCTGCTGTATAAATGTGAGGCGCAGCGCTCCAGCTGTGGGCAGTGCCTCAAGGCGCCCCCTGTCTTTGAATGTGGGTGGTGCACAGAGAACAGGAAGTGCCTCCTGCGGCAGCACTGCTCCTCACCTGAGCAGAACTGGATGCATYATGGCCGCCACAACCTGCGCTGCAGCCACCCACGCATCACCAAGGTACGGACTAATACCTGCAACCTGGAAGACTTTTATAGAAGCCATGACTTGTTCACGACCRTTCCTCCCCACAGATTGATCCTCTGACCGGACCTCGGGAGGGCGGGACTCGGGTGACGATCGAGGGGGAGAACCTGGGTCTGCAGGTGAAGGAGATCGCTCACATCCAGGTAGCCGGGGTCCGCTGCAACCCCGTCCTGTCGCAGTACGTCAGCGCTGAGAGGTGAGTGTACCAACACACCGAGGAGCGCCTCTGATCCGTGTTCTGACTCTGGTCCTGATCCGTGTTCTGACTCTGGTCCTGGTTCGTCTGCAGGATCGTGTGCGACATGGCCGAGGCTCTCCTCCCACACTCTCCGGGTGGTCCCGTGGAGCTGTGCATCGGTGTGTGCAGCGCCGAGTATCGAACGCTCTCCACACAGACCTACTCCTTCGTTGTGAGTCACCACCGCACAACGTCATGCTAACAGCTAACAGCTAACAGCTAAAAGCTCACAGCTAACAGCTAACAACTTATAGCTCACAGCTAACAGCTCACAGCTAACAGCTAAAATCTCACAGCTAACAGCTCACAGCTAACAGCTAAAAGCTAACAGCTCACAGCTAACAACTAATAGCTCACAGCTAACAGCTAAAAGCTCACAACTAGCAGCTAATAGCTCACAGCCCACAGCTAACAGCTCACAGCTAACAACTAATAGCTAAAATCTCACAGCTAACAGCTCACAGCTAACAGCTCACAGCTAACAGCTCACAGCTAAAAGCTCACAGCTAACAGCTCACAACTAACAGCTCACAGCTAACAGCTAAAAGCTAACAGCTCACAGCTAACAACTAATAGCTCACAGCTAACAGCTAAAAGCTCACAGCTAGCAGCTCACAGCTAACAACTAATAGCTAAAATCTCACAGCTAACAGCTCACAGCTAACAGCTCACAGCTAACAGCTAATAGCTAAAATCTCACAGCTAACAGCTCACAGCCCACAGCTAACAGCTCACAGCTAACAACTAATAGCTAAAATCTCACAGCTAACAGCTCACAGCTAACAGCTCACAGCTAACAGCTCACAACTAACAGCTCACAGCTAGCAGCTCACAGCTAACAGCTAAAAGCTCACAGCTAACAGCTAAAAGCTCACAGCTAACAGCTAAAAGCTAACAGCTAACAGCTAAAATCTCACAGCTAACAGCTCACAGCTCACAGCTAACAGCTCACAGCTAACATCTCACAGCTAACATCTAACAGCTAACAGCTAAAAGCTCACAGCTAAAATCTCACAGCTAACAGCTAAAATCTCACAGCTAACAGCTAAAAGCTAACAGCTAAAAGCTAACAGCTCACAGCTTACATCTAACAGCTAAAAGCTAACAGCTCACAGCTAAAAGCTAACAGCTAAAAGTTAGCAGCTCACAGCTAACAGCTAAAAGCTAACAGCTCACAGCTCACAGCTAACAGCTAGCAGGAAGGGTCTTCACACAGCTGCTGAGGTTCAGTGTGAAGGTCTGAGGAAAGTTTATAAGAGTTTAGGAGGAAGTTTTGAGCTGATTTGAGCTCAGGGTTTCAGTAAATATATTAACACACTTTTTATCCAGAGCCCCAGTTTCACGCGAGTTCGTCCAGTTAAGGGGCCAGTTTCCGGGGGAACCAGACTGACTGTGATTGGTCGACACCTGGATGCCGGCAGCGCCGTCACGGTCTTCATCGAGAGGGAGGAGTGTCTGTTTGTGAAGTCAGTTCCTGTCTGAGTCGTCAGCTGTTCAGAAATCTGCTCCTGAACAACAGAAACTTTAAAATCACTTTTTCTTCTCAGACGAACCAATCGGGAGATTGTCTGCATCACCCCTGCCTCCATGACAGGCACAGGCTCCGCCCCTATCCGCCTGATGATTGACAGGGCCGAGGTGACCAACTCCGACATCCAGTACACGTACACCGAGGACCCAACGGTCACCAGCATCGACCCCAACTGGACCATCCTGAAGTCAGTGGCTCTTGGACACATTACATTCATGCGG